CCAGTCTAACTGTCATGCTAACTGCCATGCTAACTGCCATGCTAACTGCCATGCTAACCTCCCAGCTGAGTCTGAGTTGTGTTACTTTATCAGTTCGACAACTGATGTTTACAGTAAATGAACTGAGATTTAAAAAAAAATAACTTGTGATGATGATTAATGAGAGCTTCCAACTGAAAAGTGGATTTGTTCTGATGAATAAATAAAAGTGTGAAGGTGGCAGAAACACTACATTTTCGATGTCGGTTGTTTCCAGCGTTGTGCAGACGTGGTGGTGGAATAAAACCAAACTGCTGTATTAACCGTTTGAACCTTTCCTAGTGTCGTTTTTTTAAACATCTATGTACTAAATACATGTCCTGAGACGCGTTGCTGTTTGTGTGTAACCTGAGATTAAAGCCACGTGAGGATGTGAGCAGCAGGTTTCTCCATCTCACGGCTTTGAACCAGTGAAACACGTTCATCACCACAGCAGCAGCAGAAACTCAACAGACGAACCTCCTGCTGGGCGTCGAGTCCTGACGGCGGGAATCAAAAGGCGTCGAGCTGCTCGCGACTCCCTCGGATTAAACCCGGCTCTGTTCGAGTCGGGCTTCGTTCGGGGTTCCTCGCCTGAAACAAAACGTGGCGCATGTCAGGGGAAAAAAGGAAACATCTGAAGAGGCAACGAGGTTCAACCCAGCGCAACGTTTCATCCACGTTTCTTGATCTGTGGCATCAGAGAGAATGAAAGTCAAGACGAGAAACACTGAAATAGGCAGTTTTCCCCACTACCAAACACCAATTCAGTGAGTTATATGGATGCTTTTTTGGATTCTACTTTCCTTTAATGTTATTTACCTGCGTTTTTGGATTTTCAGTGCATTATATAACTATTTGGGAGGATTTTCAACTGCTTTGATGGCTTTTTACTTGCTTTTACTGAGTTATATAGCTGCTTTTTGGGGGACTTTTCAGTGTTTTTAGCTGCTTTTTTGGATTCTAATTTCCTTTATTGTATTATACAGCTGCTTTTTTGGATTTTCAATGGGTTTTGTGAACCCAGGTGCAGATACAGATGAGACATTTCAGGATTAAAGGTTTTATTAAACAATGAATGAAGCTGAAACCTTAGCAGGGAGCGACTAACTAACAAACGTGCAGACAACGGTGGTCAGAACCGAGGACCAACCAAAGTCAATACAAAAAAGAGGCAAAACTACAAAAACCAGGAGATGCTCTAAATTAACACCAAGGGGGGAACATAAGGAAACTCATGTGCATAAACTAAAGGTAGACCAACAAAACGGGGATACTCACGGGGCTGGGGGACCACACTGGAGGGGAAGGCTGGCAGGAAACAGGTGGAGAGGGCTGTTGAAGCAGAGGGCGTCCAGGTAGAAAGCAGGCTGGAGACCTGTCTCCAGCCAGGTCGGGGATCAGCAGAGAAACAGAGCTGCAGCCGGAGGTGATCGTGTGCAGGTGAGCCGAGCCCCACAGCTGCCTGCAACACCTGCAATTAGGCCGGATGCAGGCAGGGCTGGATGGAAGAGAGAGGGCGCCAGAGAGGGGCTGGAGCAGGAAGCCGGACATCGTTCCAGCTGATGTTTTTGTTTTTTTACTTTCCTTTGCTGTCACATGTAGCTGCTCTGTGGATTTTCAGTGTTATGTAGCCGTTTTGGAAGGTTTTCAGTGGGTTTTTAGCTGCTTTTTTGGTTTCAAGTTTCCTTTAATGTGTTTTATATCTGCTTTTTGGGGGTTTTTACTTCCTTTATTGTGCTTTACAGCCACTTTTTTGAGGTTTTTACCTCATTTTTTGTATTATTTAGCTGCTTTTTTTGGTTTATGCTGTCCTTTGTGTTTTATAGCTGCTTTTTTGGGGGCGGTTTACTTCCTTTATTGTGTTTTTTTGCCACTTTTTTTGGTTTTTACTTTCCTTTAGAGTGTTTTATAGCCACTTTTGGGGTTTTTATGTCCTTTTTTGTATTATATAACTGCTTTTTTGCTTTCAAGTATCCTTAATTGTGTTTTATATCTGATTTTTGGAGGTTTTACTTCTTTTTTTGTGTTACATAGCTGCTTTTTTGGTTTTTACTTTCCTTTATTGTGTTTTATAGCCACTTTTTGGGGTTTTTTACCTCCTTTTTTGTATTATTTAGCTGCTTTTTTGGTTCATACTGTCCTTTGTGTTTACAGCTGCTTTCTGTTTTTTTTTTTTTTTACTTCCTTTATTATGTTTTTTTTGTCACCTTTTTGGTTTCTATTTTCCTTTAGAGTGTTTTATAGCTGCTTTTTGGGGTTTTTACTTCCTTTTTTGTATTATATAGCTGCTCTTTTGGTTTTTACTTTCCTGTATTGTGAGCAAACGACCGGCAACAGTGGGAAGGAACCAAAAACAAACCACTATTATGGAGGCAAATAAAAAAAATAAATACAAAAAAACGTCTGACAGAACCAGGCAGCCATCTGCCTCGATAAATATTTTGGATATTGAAGAATTCGTTCAGCTGGTGTTGTTTGAATAAGCGTTTATCTGTCGTCTTGAACACAATGTGCTCCGGTAGTCAAGAAGTCAACCTCAGGCCACCTCGCTGAGCTCCAACCCTGACTTCAGGTGAGCTGCCGGCTCATCCTGATCCGAACAGGAAGCAGGACGGAGAGTCGGGACAAATGAAATAATGTAAAAACTGCAACAACAAAGGCTCAAAAGACTCGGCCGGCTCTCTGGAGGTGCAGGGAAATCTGCTGCCGCTGAGCAGAACTGGCACCGAGCTCGGGCTCATTCTTCACGTCGTCTGATTTCTGGCACCAAAAGTCATCGAAAAAAAACAAAAACTAAAGGCCTCCGACGCTCGCAGCTGCCAGAGACACTCGAGCAAATGAACCGGCGTTTGTTGTGACAACTTTTCAATCAGATCAGCTGCTTCCTGCCAGGAGAATAAACGTCCAGCAGACTGGAAACGGCGAATGTACGGTTCAGACTCGATGGCGGAGAAACATCCGGCACGAGGCGATCCGACTTATTCTTCAAGGGATGTTTTCCAGCGACTGATGGGCCACGTGACGGACAGAAGCAGCTGATTAATGAGCCCGTCGCCCACCAGAACGCCCTCGAGCAAGGCAGTTTATCTTCGGCTTCGGGGTGTTGGGACGCTGGAGGTGGACGGTGAGCATCAAAGCTAACTGGAAGGTGTTAGCCGCTCAAAGAAAAAATAACATTTAAGGCAATATTTCAGGTCATATTCGATTATTATTTACAGAAATGGTCACAAACGTCTCGGATCCTGCACATTTGTGCATTTATACAAACTCCAGATGTTTTATTTGTTCCAAAAAACAGAAAAACGCTTCGTACTCTCCAAAACAAGCTAGCTTAGCTCAAAGTGGGATTTGTTGCACGTAAAGTCAAACATCGACAGAAAGATGAGTCTATTCAGCAGCTCGAAACCAGAAAAACTCTTAATTTTTCTTATTTCCAAGTGATTTCTTAACATTTCTATTTTCTATTTGTTCATTTTCAAATCAGATTTATTTATTTGTCTATTTTGTTACACATTTTACGATGCGTTTCATGCTAAACACCATCTATAAATTAGAGCTTAGATTTTCTTTAATTCTGAATT